AGAATCTCAATTTTCGAAAACTTTGTCAATTGACATAAAATAGCAATTATAAGATAAATATTTAAGTATGATTAAATTTAAATTAAATTTATAGACAACTCTATTTTCAAATAATAAAAAATTTGACCAATTTCGAATTTTGATATAAATAAACTTTGAGAATAAGATTCTTCTGATGTTTTCTCTAGGTACTAAACTATCAAAGCATACTGTCAATTTAATAAATTGTAAAATTGATAAAGTGTCAGAATCCTGTCATCCATTTGGCTTTTTATTTTTGATGAAGAAATTTCATAGTAGCTTGTTTTTTAGTATTTGAACATATCTCAGATTTAATAATACAATATCAAAATTAAAACAATGAGAACCAATTTTAAGTCCTAAATTGCATTATTAAAATTTTTGACGATTCAAAATTATGGCTAAAAGTGTTAATTCTTACTTAGAAGTAAATATACTCCATGAAATACATGTACGGGGCTTTTTTATGATATACATATATTCATATTTAAAAATATTTCATGAATTCTTCAAAATTTTAAAAATTGTATTCATGTAGGGTTTGGAGAATCATCATTGATATTTATTATCAGCTGTTTAGAAATAAATTCTTATAAATCACCTATGTACTCACATCATCGCTAATCCGTTCAAAAAAATGTATCCTCTCTAATCATAGTGCTATGCAATTCTACATGCAAATTAAATTATTACATCTACTAGCGCTGGAGTTCATTGTTCGATAGCTATGCACGCATTATTGAAAGATCACTAATTTTATTCTGGTCCCTGTGAGGCAAGACGACACTTGGGCGTGAGAAAACTATTAGATCAATCAGTTGCATTAACAAACAAACAATAGCGATAGCTTTCTGCGCGCATATTTTCATGCACATGCACCGCAATAAAAACTTTACCTAACCAAAAAGAATCCCCCATTGTATCAAGTTTTTTGTATGAAGCACATGACTGTTGTCTCTTTCTACCTATATCGATATGCCTATACATATGCAGTAAAATATGCATAAATGCGATTATTAAATCGATAATTCATTTATCGACATCTTATCGTTATGTATATACATGTATTATAATTGTTCGCTCATAATAAACTAGACTAGTTTAGTAAATAGGCACTTAAATCTAACCACATCGGATTGACCACTAAGTGGTGTGGCGATCTGAAACATGGAAGACGATTACGTCAAGGGAAGAAGAGAAATTTTGTTTTTTTTTAACATTGGATATTTTCTTAAAATCAAACTCTTTGAATTGTTTATAACGATAATTTTGGGTATCCAATCTAAAAATCTGTCCATATGATCTTTTATTTCTTTATCGGACGTTTTATAATCAAAACAACGATGAGAATAATAAAAGACTGCTAGTATATAGCGATAGCTATATCGATATACTGTAGATCCTTTATGCTAAAATAACAATACCAATTCTCTCTATAACGAATTGATGGTTCTGTTAGTAAAAAAAGTTCGTTAAAATCACCATGTTTTCTAGAGAGTCAACTACTCTTTCTATAACGAACTAATATAAAATTTATCCAGAGTTCGTTATAAAGAGGTTCGTTATAGAGAGTCAACTGTAAACATTATCTGTGGTATTGACTATGGAAAATAAACGAAACTAAGATATTAAGAGTATTTTTTATCGTGCATACAATACCATTATGCTGGCTTTTAATAGTATTGTCACGAAAATGCCGTCATAATATAATTTACACAATTGATTGTACCACTGCGTGGCAACAATAGGACCCTGATCCGAGTTTGTGTATAATTTTGGCCAAATTTTGAAAATTTACTATATCGGTATTCTTTATTCAATTTCCTAAATTGGGTTGTTCAGGGTCCTAGCCAACTATCATTTACCAACGGCTTTTGGTATTAATATTGTCCAATCTCTTATTTAATGGCTGGTATTCTTATTATACTTCTTAATATTTCTCTATAACTGAACAAAGACAATCTCGATACGAATTCTGTAATACCGATACGATACATTATATAATAAATCTCGATGAAGATTGCCTTGTACGTACATGTAGGTGTATAGATAAAAAAAAACTTCTGTATTATTTGTAAGAATAAAATTTAACTCTCTTGATATATAAATATTTATACTTTAACATTAATAACATTAATAACATTAATATCATTAATATCATAAACAACGTAACGACACAGTGAAACGAATGTTCACCTGAACAAATCGCTGATATAACGAAGATTTTAAAAATCCTATTAATAATTCACATTAACGAAGTTTTTAGTTGGAACGAGACCCTTCGTTAAAGTGAACTTCACTGTGTATATGATATATCTCTTATTTATTATATGAAGTCTTATAACTACTGTATAAACTACTCCATTTTATATTATCCACTATTTGCAGTGCAGAAAATTTTACGAAATCAAGACTACTATATGCATTTACTATTAATAAGCCCTTTATAACATAATCATTTAGAATACCCAGATGTTTTTTGGGAGAAAAATTGAATTAGACCGTAATCAGGCAACTGGAGTTATGAAAGTTTATAATTACAGTACAAAAACTAAAATATAAAACTGCCAGCATTGACAGTAACATACAGTAGTACTTCATTACAACAGCTTTGTTTCTTCCATGGGTACTATGTGTACACCGACGTAAAATTCTTTAGTTAATTTCACAGGTCTATAGTAAATTTTTGATACACATGATTTTACTATTGGCCTGTAAAATAACTAAAAAATTTACTTCAGTTATAGTCATAGCCATAGTTATTCCATAGAAAACTTATGAAAAACTCCATATCACTGATGTTCCCCTCCCAAAGAGGTGGGGATTTTAGTTATTCTCAGATATCTATGGAATAACAAGTACGTATGTATGTATAACATTGGTTCGATGTTAACTTCGTTACCAATGTCGCTCGTTAACCGGACATATCAATATTGGGCTGAATTTTTTGCAGTCTAACTGTAAATCAGTTTTTTCCGGAATATTGATCCGATTTAGGCCATTTAATGAAAGCGACGTATTATATATATATATATATATATATATATATTAGATTTATTCCCTTCAGTTCAATCATCGAACGTAAATCAGTACTAATCCAAGTCGATAACTTATAATAAAGTGGCTGTGTATGCAATACTGTATATGACGATGTCGATGTGATGCATCAGCTACAAATCAAAATTTAATAAAGACTTTAAAGTAAAAGAATACACTGCCATTAAAACAACAAACAATGACTTGATGCATGCACATTTGCACTACACACATGACCGACTACGTGCATCACTCACGACTCGAAAGATACTCTATGGAGAGATGCAAACAACGAAAAATGTTAAAAGTTTGTTTGCAAAGTACATGCTAAGTTTATTGATGGTGATCCCTGCATTTTTTTTTCGTACGAAATAAATTTGGTATGGCGGGTAAAATTTTATCTGATTGTATATCACATTCGCGGACATCTTTCACCAGTCAGTATATCATATTGATTGAAATTAAGGCTTGAAAATTTACACCTGAGTACGGTGATGATGAAGCATGGATGGCGGTGATATGACGAGTTACCAAAGGAGAAGCGAGATCGTCACACTATTACTGATATGGGGAACCTTGTTAAAATTGAGTTCTCGAATTTTAGGCAATTTCTTTGTTTTCTTCGTTTCGTCAACTATGAATTTTTGATTTTCAAGAATAATATAGGACAATTATGGCTAATTTAAGGCAATAACTGTTTTTACAAAATACATAAGCGTATGGCTAAACAAAATGAATCACAGAATTCAATAAATTCGCCACCTCAAATAATGGTGTCGGATTATAAAAATTTCTTTATCTGGTTCTAAAGAAAATATTTTATCCAAATTAGAATCACAAGGGAACAATGAATACCGATACCATTCAAAACGACAAAAATCCCTAATTCCCCTGTCACTCATCTACTGGTCCTAAACTATGTACGTTCGTATATCAATATTGATATTGATATAGATTCTTTATGTTAAACCGGGCCGGGACATGTGAATATTCGCTTGATGATTAAAGTTGACGATGAACAACAGTTTCAGAGTCATTATCGTTATCTGATGATGATCGACGATAACGATGATCGCGATTGATGATAGTAAAAAATCGCAGTGTATCCATTGGTTCAGCCAACCTAATTTTAGGGTGATGAGAATAGGTAGGTAAATAAGCATCTAGGCGTAATATTCGCTTTCCGTCTATCTTGGCTATTACACACACACAATAGATTCCAAAGTCTAGAAATTAAAAGTGCCCTGTTTACTTTGATTGTTGTTGTTTGTACCAATTATATAATCAACCCGTAAGAATGACTTTAATTCCCGAGGTTGCAAAGCATTCCTGAACTTAAATAAGTAACGATAATAGAAAAATTACATGTATAAACACAATATGCACGAACACAATAAATTAGCCTCTCCTGCATATGTGTATGTTGTTTTTATTTGAAGTATATTGATTATCAAGACAGAGCAAATTTTTAATATTAATTTTTCTCTTTTAATCACATTGCCTTTCTTTTCTTTTGTTTGTTTATTAACCTTTCATTTCTATAAATTAAACGTGTTCCCTGCCTTTATAAACACCACCGAGACCAAATCGTCTATTTCTTGTCTGTCTCTTTGTTTACGCAGAAAAATTACCTTCTTTTTTTGTTTCTGTTTTAAGTTTCAGCCTGCCTGCCTGTGTTGAGGAAACCGTTTGTTGTATATATCTATCACTATATGCTATGCTAGATTACCAAATATTGCAACCAAAAAGCCACATATCATATCTCTTTATACCTAAAAAAAATCCCATTTAATTCTTTCTCTTACTCTTTTCTTTCTTTTTATTTCTGATATTTAGAGAAGAATAAAAATCATTAATATCATTTATAATTATCGCAAATTAACAATAATCTCATTGAGCAAACCATAGGATACAATTAATAATATCATTGAACAAAAATTAAAATGGTCAACATTCTAAAAAACATACGAAAACGACTCAACAACGACAAAACATTCAGACCATACCGTCCCGACCAAGACTCAGAAATCGATCGCGCGCAGATACATCATCATTTGGCAAATGCTGTGTGGGGGAATAATTATTCGGCGCCAGTGCAAGAAAAGTTAAAGAAAGGTGCTCGCGTGTTGGATATCGGGTTAGTTTTGTTCTCGTGATCTGAATGCTTTTCGCGCTTCCTTCTTGTTGTACTTACACAACGAAATTATTTAGATGTGGCCCAGGCACCTGGATATGCGACATGGCATCCGACTACAAAAACTCCACATTTTTCGGAATTGACGTTCTCCCGATATTTCCCACCGAGCGCCCATTCAACGCCCTTTTCAAAATTGGCAACATACTACATGGCCTAAAGTTCCCGGACGGGTCGTTTGATTTCGTGCATATGAGTTCGATGGGACTCTGGTTGACCCAGGAGCAATATGAGACAGTGGTGGTGCCAGAGCTGGTTAGGTTGGTGAAGCCTGGTGGATGGGTTGAGGTGAGTTGTTGGTTTTTCGGCTATATATAGTTCACGGGTTAGATTACATCCTGGTTAATTAATCTGTATCGATTTATGAGTATAGATTATGGAACCGGAATTAGAAATTTATAATGCTGGCCCACAGATAACAAAAGCACAACAAAAATGTATGTATACATATCTTGAATTCTCCAAGGTCTAATTTAACGTAATCCTTGAACTAATTTTCTACGCTCACTCAAAAACAGTCCGAAGAGGACTAAAAAAGCACGGTCGTGATCCCTTACTCGCCATAGAAATCGACCGCTTCCTCCATTCTTCATACCAACTAATAAAAGTCTCACGAAAACAAAAAGAATGTGCAGTCGGCATTCCTTCATCGTCGGATCTTCATATACAATATGCTGTGAAAACGAATTGTTCGTCTTTTTGCTCGTCATCGACTACGACGATAAATGAGAATAATTCCAATAGCGAGACAAGTACGGATAGCAATTATAATAATGCTGATACAAAGGCTATCGACGTGAACAAAGAAAACGCTGAAAGACAAATCGGACTACTCGGTGCACAGATAGCTATCTCGCTGTTGGTCAGCTCGCTGGTCTCGCTGTATGAAATACGACAACAGACGTTCGAACGTAAGGTGCAAAAACTCGTGAAAGAGGCTAATGAACGACGGTGTTGGATTAATTATCATAGAGTATTTGCGCAGAAACAAAAGTTTATATTGTGATCATGTTGTTTTGATTTTGGTAAAAGACGAATAGATAGAATATTTAAAATTCGAAATTTTAATATTAATGTAATTTTGTAAATAGATTTTCTTTTTTATTATATCGATATACTTTTTCCTGTAAATGTATTATGTTTATTTTTCTTACCTTCTTTATCTAATGTAAAATATACCTTTTTTCATTTGAAATGAAAATTATTTTTAACAAACTTGTAAACCGTCCTGCCAAAAAATTGACGTGATTGTGAAAAAACTACTACCGCTATCGCTTTAGCAATGTACATGGAACACTATCCTATCTATAACTACGCAAATCAAATATCGATTTACGTTCGTACCGTTATCGTTATCAAATTACATGTACCATCTACGTAAAGTCATCAAACGTTTTTATTTTATAAAATGGATAAACTTCTTTACTAACACTAACGCTAAAGAATAAATACAAGGTTTAATCCGTAAATATGCTCAGAAAGGGTTTATCACTATTATATCATATTTACGGATTAAATTTTGGATTACTTCTTGGTAAAGAAGTTTATCCATGATGACTTTAGATGGTATCGAGCGATAGCGTCGTTGCATAAATTGATAAAGTGGAAATTTTTACGTGATTCAAAGCAAATTTTGTTAGTTTATAAACGAGGTAAAAATAAACCATTTCTAAAGTGTAATCAAGATGCTTTTTTTTGTTTTCTAATACAATTTATTTTTTAAGAAAATAGATTATCGGTATCACTTTTTTATTATAATGGAATAACGATAATGGATTATGTGATCTTGAAATTAATAATACACTAGCCACGGCAAAAAAAGTGTCGATCACGTGATGATACAACCAATAAGAATGCGGAAAATTCTGGTAACCAATGGGAATGTAGCAAATTTTTGATCAACCCGAAAAATACAAAAAAATCTAGCTTGTCACATTATCAAAAAATGTCGGGAAGACAATTTTATCTATAATCTTGATCTCAACTCTAATCTTAACTCTAGCACTTGATATCTAATATTAATCGGATATTTTAATGAACTTATTTCAGATCACATGACTGACACTTTTTTTGCCGTGGCTAGGAAATTAATGATTTTGGACTTACCGATATAATCAAAGAATTTACGGAACACTTCATTATATGAGTCCAGAGGTACTAACGCTAAATGAAAAGCCATACCGATACACTAAAGCTGCAGATACTTATATTTTTGGGATGAAATTGTAACAGGTGAACGAGCGGAATCATGATATATACAGTTAGTGATGTGGTGATTCGGTTCGGTTCGGTTCGGTTCGGTTTAACCAAACCAAACCAAACCAAGCCAAACCAAACTGATCAAACCAGTTCATGTATAATCAGTTTATCGTTATGTATATATATATAACTAATTTAACTGTACATGTATTAATGATCTGCATAATAATCACAAACTGTTTTTTATTCGTAAAATTAACGTTGAACTGTAATACTGCTGCGCTTATATTAAATTGGGCTATTTGAGGGATTTCTAACGCAACAAGACTTTGGGAGAAATCACTAGACTGATTGATGTTTATTCGGTATCTATAGCCTGTGCTGATATCTACGGATATCGTTGACTTACGTTGATTTTTGGAGGAAAGGGAGAGTCTATGTGTTTCAGGTGAGTGTTCAGGGGTTCTTTTATTATTGCTTTTTATAGATAAAAGTCTTAAACTCTTAAAAATATTAGACCAACTTACCTCATTTTAGGAATAAGTCTGGCTTATTTTGTCGACCAAACTGGCATTGTCCAAAAATTAATAACAATCATTGCTTTTTTTTTTTTTTAGATAAAAGCCTTAAACTCTTAGAAATAATAACGATACTAGCGATCACACAAAAATGGTTTTTCATTAACAATGCGATTTTACACGAAACAATGCCTTTTCTGGTGCAAAGGACCTAACCAACAAGTAATGTGATACCAAGATTAATGTGGGGGAAAGAGGAAGAGTTTTACAAGCATTAATTCACTTTTAAGAATAATTGTATGCAAAGGTTCAAGCTGTATTTTGCTTGGAGAAGAATTTTATTCTAGCCCGTGGGCCATTCTTTTTGTGTATTATTATTTGTATCAGATTATTTTGCTAGCTGATCAAAAATTCACACATTCTTATTGGTTTATATTATTAATAAATCACATTATTATTGAACTACGATATGATATAAACCTGGTACACATTTCAGATATGCATAATCATTATTAAGTAATATAATAAATACAATCTGTACATTAAGTCATGACATATTGTATCTATTTTTAGCATGTATTTTGATAACTCTTAAGTAATAAAACAAATACAATTTATATATCATTTGATAGATAAATTATAAATATTTCATCTATAATATGGCAAATACAAAATACTTATCATTTAAGTAATATAACAAATATGATTTATATATTATATCTGAGATTATAATAATTTAATTTGTTATTTTTTGATTATATAATCAATAAATAACTATTAATTTTTTAATAAATTGATAATGCAAATTTACTTTGAATAAATTTATTTTGTTCAATTAAATTATTCAAATTTCTTCAAATATAAAGTAAATATTTGCTAAAGTTGAATATAATAAAGCAGATTAATATTTAATAGTATGCTCAAAAGATTCTAGTATAATAATTATATCCTAAATAAAAAATATTTATTAATAAATTAATTAAATAATATATTTTTAATAAAATATCTTTATTTTACTTATTTTAATTATTTTTAGATTATTTTTATTTGGATAAATTTCTTAGCAAGAAGAAATAAAACTAATTCTAAAGTAATAAATTATTCTAGTATATAATAAATTGAGTTTTATTATGTTTTCATATTCAAAATTAACTTAAAATAAATAATTCCATTAGCAATACTATTGTTACATGTTTTTCACTAATTGGATAATTAGCTAATAAACATGAACAAGTGTTAAGAGAGGTAATTAGATAAATATAAAAATAATATAAAAATAATATCTAAGTCCTATATCAATTTTTACTGAAATTATTATAGTTTGAAAGAGAAAAATAAGATAATAGTATTTCAATTAGATATAATATTCTGAATAATCATACTAACTAATTAATTTATGAATTATTTAATTAAAGTGACAAATAAATTAACTAACTAATCAAAATAACAAAAATAACAAAAGTAATGAAGACTCTTTCACTTTGTTCTTTTTACAAAAAAGAGATTATAATGTCTTTAGTTGAGAAATTCCAATAATTTAATTATAACTAAAATATCAAA